GGCTTTAAGGGCCGAGCCAAGTAAGAAATGGCCCCGAATCGTTGGTACCATTCATGTCTTAGCTAGAAAGTAATATTGTTCGCGTAATCCAGCAGACGTATCCCCTACATTTCTTAACCAGTCATTTCTTGTACAGTGGATGCACTGTAGCTTGCGTTGTGTTCATCCCTGTATCTGCATAGCTTGGATTTACGGAAGATGCCCAGAGCACAACATGTTAGCAACCCTCCATATTCGCTCCATTCACGCAAACTTCAAAGTTTGAGGGTGCTTCGCAGCAAGCATCTTAGCCTCGTGCGTCAAGCCCGTGATCGCCGTCATGTGTTTGAACAGTAGAGGTGGTGGCGACTCTTACCGCATTCCGCCTCCAAAGCACCGCCAGGACGGACAAGTCAAGATGCTGAGGTTTGAAACTCGTTCGAGCGAATGGAGGCTTCTTTGAAAATTCCAAATTAAGTTGTTGAAGGGCCTCGTTGCCCTGCAATTGTAATTGTGTGGAACTGAACATAAGACACTCATCAAGACGAGCATCAGATTGCCTTTCAGTGCCTGTGCTGGTCTGGGCTTTATATTCAAAGCTGCAAAAGCTGGAGCACACGTCCCGTGAATCCCTCGAGTGCAGAACGCAAGCAAACAAAGCCCTGAGAAGAAAAACTACCTGCATTACACCCATAATGTGTATTCTTACGCTGGCAATTTAAAAGTGATCTGGCGGCCCCTTACTTGAATGCCTTCAACACGCCCTGCATGTGTTTCTTGTGTGCCAAAGCTTCCCTCCTCCCCGCCCCTGCCATGACCTTGACCTAAATACGGCAGGAAGGCGTCCAGCAGCCGGCAGTAAAGCTCACTCCGGAGCAACGTGCAATTTTCTCACTGCGTTTTGTAAGTTTGGGTTTCCGGGTTCCTTCCGCCATGCCAGGCCATCTCAGGTCTGATATACATTCCTTCACCTATTTGTGGGGAAGCTCCTAACAAACATTGCATGTAGCTGTTGGGGCAGAGGTAATTCCTAGGGCCGGGTTCTCTGTAGAGTTGGAGATGTTGAGAAGAGGGTGCTGCAGGGTTATTGATCTCAAGTCCTTTCCCTCAAGTGCAGGTATGTGTCGCCGTTAATTATGCACATCCAACCTAGCAAGGGCTTGATTCTGGTTCCCTACTCTCATGTAGAAGGCCGATTCACTTAACGCTCCTCGCGCACCGAAGAGCGGTAGCATTTGCTTAATTAGTATCCTGCACACTTGGACGGAAAAATATGATAGTGTTTCAAGGACCCACCCGTGCTGTAGCCCTCTATGGGCTTGCAGGCGGTGTAAGCTTCCATCCTGAAACTACCTCCTCTCTCACCGCGCCTCCTCTTTATCCTTGACCCTGTGTTCAAGAACATGCAATAACGTTGCCCGTGCTCAACATTGGCTTACGCATGAAAGCATACCCAGTGGCTTCTGCTATCAACGACCTCGATATTATTAAAGCATGTCCTCGGGAGGCTGTAGAATTTTCGCATTGATTTGAAGAGCGCCCTGGGATGGGGCATTTCTTTGGGTTGTCACAGAACTTCGATCCACGTTTTTCTTTGCTTTCTCGATTGTGTGTGTGTGTGTGTGTGTTTTTTTACTTACATGCTTTTAAACTCATCCCTGCGGGATCCGGGAGGCCCCGCAAACGAAATTTCTACACATGTGTCCTGCTGGTGAACAATTGTCCTGCCTTCCCGCCTTCCCTGCAAAAATAGCAGATGGACTGCTACGTTTGTAGCATCGCTCTTGTCACACCAATTGTGGGAGGAGATGCGAGCGGCATCATTGGCACCTGGGCCACATTCGCAGGGCTTCAGTGCTGTGCTTTCTGGGCGGGGTGTCACTGGGCAGCCTTCCTGTTTCTATACCAAAAAAGACTTCAGTGCCTCAAGTTTTGGGATTCGAAGCTTCGGGTATCTTCGGGTTTGGGACCTCGAGTCGTTTTTGCTCAGAGCTGGATTCATGCATGGAGGGCTCCGATAGATTATCAAAAGCCGTCTCAAAAAGCCATGCCTGACAAGGAGCGCATAATCCAGCTACCGTGAAGAATGAAGAACAAATTCGAGCACGCGTTCCGAACTCTTCATCCCCAAATTCCTGGGTTCGTCAGACCTTGAACTCACTGCAGCCTTGAACTCGCTGAACCTGCAAACACAACCGCAGCCAAGGAGTGCGAAGGGTTCCTTTACGCGACCATGGCTTTTGGGCTTATGATTCATGGGAAGTGTGAGCAAAGCCGGAGTTAGGGCTTTGGCAACCGAACGGTTGAACTTTAAAGGTCGCGTTTCCATCTGGCTGGTGACCATGGCTTGTTCGGGCAGCTTGTTCAGGCTGGGGTCTTGGATTTAGGGGGGGGGAGGAGATTTGTAAGGAATTTTGAGATTGTAGTCAAGCGGGGGATGCTGACAAACTGCAGCTATTTCTGTGGATGTAGATGGCTCGCGAACTATTGGCTCTCTGGCTCTCACAAAGTGTTGTCAGACTTGAAGCGCAAGCACATGGACTTTCTTCTGGGAAGTGGATGAAAGCATTGCAGCATCGCCAGCAGGAGTCGGAGCGGAAGTCTTATGATAAAGTTCTGTCCAAGCTCGAACAGCAGATCGTCACGGGCATGCTGCCCCGAGCCAGAAACCCCAATCCTAGTTTTGGACCATCGACCCCGCGGAATAAAAAAGGAAAGGATGGAATGATTTTGGGGGGTCTTCGAACTCCTAGGTCTTCGAGTCAGCTTTGCAATTATTCTCATGTCTGAGGGAAACCTCTCTTCTGTTCTTGTCTGAAATGCAGCCAAGTAAGCGAGTCCTCATTGAATGTTCGCCGAACTGGTGACGCTGGAAATTTCTGAGTGATGGGAAAGGGTTTTCCCGAGAGCCCGTGTCAGGCAAGCAGGAAGCAATGTTGGAGCCTTTGATTCCAAATACTTTTTAGTAAGCAAATCAGGGTTGAAAATCAGCCCTCCTATTCTCATTAAAACTAAGCCCTTGGAATCTGAGTTCCCAGTTAAGAAAACTTTCCAATTGTCTAGGACTATTTTTCTGGAATTCCATGTGTTTCGTTGGCCACCTCCAAAGTCCCCTTGGACCCCAAATTAAAGGGAGTGAAATGGGAACCCCGCGACAGGGAAGCCCAAGAATGTAGTAGGAATGTAGAAGGAAGATACTTACCGGTGTCTTTATGTTCCTATTATATTCCTAGTGTTCGGGGTTCCCGGTTTGGGGCCTCCGTTTCACTCCCTTAGCAAAGGTGGCCCCGAAATGTTGATGAAATGTATTGAGGGTTGAGCTACATGTAGGAAACAAATTGGTTGAGGTCCTGAAGCCTGCGCAATAAATCCTGCGTTGACCGGCTTGGCTCAGTAGACAGCTCAGGACTTCACGCCGCCGAACACACCTTGTACCGTGTCGGCTGAGGTCCCTCGCAGCTACGATTTTGGGCGGCACTTATACCAAGACCTCTTCCTCTTCCTCGCTCTCTTTCTTGCTCTGCATACACAAAGCTCTAATAAATCCACTGGTGACATTGCAGTTGATTGATTTGCTCGTCCCGCACCTACAGCTCCATAAAACCCCGGAATGGCTCCACTGCAGTATGGGCTGAGTCCGTTCTGATGTCTACTCTCATTCATAGCCGCTCGAAGGTTGGAGTGGCCAGCAAAAAAGTTTTGTCTCCGCGGAAGCCGCTTGCTTTGGCTCAAGCCTTGCCTTCTCCGCCTCTCCGCAACCTGTCCCTTGGCAGCCGCCATCTAACCTGCTTCTCAAGAGCCTATGAGTTGAAGGCAAGGCCAATGGCAGTTCCCATACTGCTGCACCATCACGCTTGGGCCCTCGGGCCGATGAACGCCTCGCAATTCCCTGACCCACGCAAGAACTAACCGCTGGCAATTGTTTCAACTAAAGCTGCTTCGTGAATTGCATAGCGGCATATGGCCTGCGCCAAGGATGGACGCAATCAACAAGTTTGCTTGAATGTAGATTCTCAGCAAACATGCGAGCTGCCCCAATGCCTCGCCACCAGCGTTCGCAGCGGGAGTTTTGCGTTGTTCTGTTGGGTTCGTGGGGCCTTGTGGGGTGGCTCGTTAAATGCCACCTGGTTCGGTTTGGCTACCCTCGGCCACTTTCTTGTCAGTTCGCAGAGCATGTTAACAGATGACGTGATCATATGTTTCGATGTCTGCAGAGGTATTTGGAAAGCAATGGGCTGCGGTGGTTCAAGTCATTCCTACAAGGAACCCCGCAAGGCCGCGAAGAAACTCGGCTTTCGGATGCAGAGTTGCTAAACGTTGCTACTTGTAAGGCGGAGGGTCAGAGCCGAAAGGTGAGCTCCTCTTTTGAAGACAGCCCTTTCTAGAGCCAACGTTCTAGAGAAGCCGATGGGTCCAATGTGGTCCAATAGTGCTCAGTATGCCTGGCAGGGGCTGTTGGGTGATACAATGTGCATCTGCTGAAAGCATGGCAGAAATGATGTGCAGTCCCGCTTTTGGATATGTAGCGGCCTTGCACAACCTGCAGATTGAGACGAAGTTCTACAACGAGTTTGAGAAGAACCAGGTTCCTTCGCTCAGCGGCAAAGTGGTGCTCATCACGGGCTGCACCACCGGACGCATGGCACAAAATGAGCTGAGGCATCAGACAAGGCAGGTAGGAAGGAGGTGAAAGAATTGCGCGAAGCAACCAAAAGCATGCTGCATGATGCATTGAGCCCAGGAACGGGATTCATCACTGCCTGTTGTGCTGCACGAAAAGGACAGGCGTGTACGTTCTGGACTGGTAGCAGACGTCTGGAGGGGTTGCACACGTTGCTTTCCAGGGTTTAGGCCGTCATCACCCCCTGCATCCTCGTACCTTACCCTCCTGAGATGCCCAAAAGTGTGACATGTCCGGGTGCACGTGTACCAAACCATGTGAGCATGTGTGAACGGAGGGTCTCGGGGCTATATTGCAGCTACTCTTTCTTCGTTGCATCTTCCATTGGGCGTTTTTGCAGGAGCAACTGTGGTCATGCTCAACCGTAAGAGCTCCCGTGCGGAGGTCTCTTGGAGTGGAAGCGCGAGTAATCAGTTGTGCGTCTGTGTGTGCGCACTTCGGGCATGCTCTCCGGAGACCTGCACTCGCAGACCATGTTTGCGACTGCAGGGGTCGTTCGGATGGATTTGACAGGCTCAGCCATGGACTCATTGAATATGAGGGTGAGGTCCAAACATGGGTGCTGGGGTCAGTCCGCCTAGGAAAGCTCGGACGTGCGTGCTTGATGGATCTTGATTGTATCTACCTGGTCTAGCTGCCATCTTACATCCATCTTTTCCAAAAGAGGATGCGCTGAAATGGTGGGCTTGTTTCAGAGGGTTAGTATGTGGAGGTTGGCAAGTTGATTCATTTCCCACGTACTTTACCCGGGACAAAAACAATTTATCGGCGTGTGCAGATCATGGGAAAAGGACAAAAGGGAATAAGCCGACAACGTAGTAATTTATGTTACTGAATGGGAAGGGATAAGAGCAAACAAAACTAGCTTTTTTGGTGCCGCTGAGTCCTTCTAGGTTTGCCTTCTCAACTGAGGCAGCCGAAGAGCAGGTCAAAAAAGAAGTGAGCAACGATGGGAAGGCTCCATCTGCTGAGTATTGCGTGACTGAAAGGAGTAATTCCAGGAAGTAAGCCAGTGTTTCAGAGAATCAGTTGATGCAAAGACGTCTATGGCTCCTTCGTCCAGTGCTTCAGGGCGCACGCCATTGAGAGTGTAAGGGTTCGCGACCGCGTGAGCGCTTGCACCGCGTGAGAGAGTGCAGGACAAAAACATTAATGTATATTCGTTTTTCCACAGAGTCTGTAGCAAAGCTTCAAGAAGCACTCATTCGAATCCAAACAACACCCCGGGCGATCTTCACGAGGGCTTTGCTGAGCTTCAACCAATAGGACCTACTAGAGAGGAATGCTGGTTGAGGTGATGACTGTGGAGTGCGACCTGCAGGACATGGACAACGTCAAGGCGAGTGGTCAGGAATGTGTCGGATACTCACGGCTACAGCTCCACCATAGGGTGGGAAATAGAGTTGCCAGCAGCAGTGGCAAGGCCTGTTACAACACGGCTGTTGAAAAATTACTGCGCCGTTGGGTCAGGTGTCAGGACATTGCAACTGACGCTCACAATGGTTTGCATCCTTTGGTTGTTCAAACGTATCAGAATGCTTGACGGCAGCACCTGTCGCAAAGTCTTGCTTGTAAAGCATTAGAAGCAGCAATCAGTTTTAGCTCCCGGCTTTTCGACTCCGAGTCATGCTGGGCGCAGGCCGCCGCAGAAAAAATCAAGGAGCTTTTCTCAGAGCTGCCTGGCAAGTTGGGTCTGAGGTCTGAGGGGAACATATTTGAGCGCATGCTGATGACTTGCGGGTGGTATGTCGGTGGGATGTACCTCTTCATTTCTGCTGACGGCATGCATATTGGTCAAGCAGGCTGTGGTGAGGTTGCTCAGTAAGGCAGCTCGCCAAAGTTTTGCTTTGATTGAGTTACTGAGCCCATGCGCACGGGCAATTGCCAATCATCGGTTGCTTTCTTCGTACAGGTCCACCTTACAATCCACGCCTCGATTGTGGCTTTAAATACCTTCCCTGACATTTCTTGGCCTGAGCCCTTGAGGTCTGGCGTTGATGTTTTGTGCAACAACGCCGGAGTGACTCGGCTTACACGCGTCCGTGCATGATGGCTGGTCTCCTAAATTTGGACCGTTCAGGAGCTTCCACCTCACGTAGCAACCGCTCCAGACTTTGAAGGCCCTGAATTCAAGAAACTTGAAGAGCCTCTAGCCCAAATTAGCTAGGTATTGCTATTTCCATGAAGAGTCGCTGCTGTCGAATCAACGTAGTTGGTGGAAAGATGGCTAAACCAGTGAGGTCCAGGTACAACATGTTGTTGGGCTTCTTTTCGGCACTTGTGGTTGCTAAGCCCTGCAGGGTTCCACAAACAAGAATGAGGTTGGACCCCTCTAAGGTGATGGCTCTGGCGGATGAAGCAACCAAGGCGAGCGGTACGTGCTGTCCGCATGCACAACTATCGATTTGGGATATCTACCGATGTGTACTTGCTCTTTCACATGCAAATCTGTTATCTTTGATCAGTATCAAGCTACAGGGACCAGCAGGGTTTAGGGCACGTTGGCGGCGGGAGATATGTGCATGATGCTGTAATCCCTGAGCGGTACCGTGCTACAGCATGCTTGAGCAGGATGGCTATGATGTGCAAATGCAGACCAACCACTTGTCCCACTTCCTATTGACGAAGGAGATGCCTGGCTCTCATCAAGTGATTAGTAGCACGGCCACGGGGCCAAAGGAATTTGTAGACGCCTGTGGGCCCGAAGTTCCTTCAGTGTTTAAGTATGGGAAGAGCTGCGTACGTGTACACCTTCACGACACTCCAGAAAGCTTGGCTGACTTGGCCTTGAATGAAAAGGTGCTGCTGGTAAAGGTTGTGTGAAAATCGCGGTTTGCCTTGAGTTTTGTCTTCGTGGTTTTGCGCAAGCAAGATCCACGAAGCCTCACCAATCAACAAGGGCTATTACTATACTGGCTCAAGAGACCCATATCCGATCTTCAACAGTCAGTCAGCAAGAATTCATGTCAAAATCTTCTCAGACGTACTGCATCAGCGCTTTGGTTTGAAGCGTATTTGAATTCTTAGCCTTGCTGCGAGCAGTATCATTGACCAGCAACCTGCAGCCAAGGATCTTCCCACTCCTCGAGAAAGGACTGCTTCCCGAAGCTTGGGATGAGTGGGCTTTAGACAGGCAGTCACTCTCGCGACACTGCCCGAGGGTCAATGTGCCATAGCAGGGGGCCTTCCAAGATGCTGCTTTAGAAGTTGGGAACGCCATTTTGGCTTGCTTCTCTTCGCTAGTGCCGTACTTCCACAAGATCAGGGTCTTCAATGCTTATGATTGCTTGTGAAGACATGTTCGAAACTGTTTTGCTCACGGCCCCTTCAAGGTGCGTGAGGATGCCAGAAGCTGTCCCAGAGTGTATGCTACTTCTTAACCAAGCAAAGGTCAAAAGAAACAGTAGAAACCCGTGCAGCGCTTGCGAAAAAAACCACCGAACGGTCTAGCCTGTGTGGCTTCCTGGCTTGAACCTGAGAATGTAGGACCCCTGCCTCTGCCCTCAGCTGCGCAGGAGCGGCGTTGCGCGGCGAGGCGGGCTTTGCCTCCCTGAGCTCAACTAAAGCTCAAAAAGATGGTAATGCGTTCTTCGACCAAGGCAGGCTTTTCTTCTCCAGCACGTACAGGCTCGCATTGTCAACCACTCGAGCGGCGCCCGTGCTATGCCATCAACGCCAGTGAAAGCTCTTTGGACAGCATGTAGGCCTTACAGTCCAAGTAGATCGCCCACCCCTGTTTGTCGGTGTTCTGCTGCAAGGTCTAGCTGATTTTGTCGGCGTTCGGCATCGAGTTTTCGGATTGCATCGGGTAGCGAGTGCATGCGAGTGGTTAAGTTCAAGATGATTGCTTGCATTGCAGAGCTGAAGAAGATTACAGTCTTGGTGCTGTCAACATGTTTCAAGATGTTGTATAATCAGCCCCCCTTCATGTCTGCACCCTTTGTTCTCTCAAATTGTGGGGATGGTGCCTCCACCCCTGACATGTTTCAGTCAAATGTTCAGGGGTCCAAGCGGCGCGGCTGATTTCTAAAGCCGACGGCACCGCTAGCCCCATTTCATTCTCGGATGATGCGCGCCCAAAATTACGCATGCGCACGTCAATGCCCTGTTGCATGGTTTCGTTTCATGTGCCTTGACACCAAAAGCAGCGGCTGAGTAACGCAGAGTTTCTCATCAGACGAAAGCCGCTTACTTATATGCTCTCTCCATTTGCCCAGCAGGAATCAAGACTGCTTGTCTTCCGTTGTCTCCCTTCCTGTGGGTTGCCTTTGCGGTCCGAGAGTTTTTGTCTCCCTTAGTCTCCCTTCATGCGGGTGGCCTTCGTCAGGTTCCCAGGCTCTTTGTCTCCCTTCATATGGGTGACCAATCCCGCGTTGCTGGGAGTGCTTGCGTGCATGGTGGTGTCCTCCCGACTAGCTACGAGTGCATTTGCTGTGGCTGCAGAATGGAGGCTTACTGTACTGCCCTGGGTAGTTGCTTCTCTAGGCCCAGGATTTGTCCAGTGTCTGGCAGTTTGGTCGGTTCTGGATTCCAAGGCGCCTATATTGACATGGTCTGCAAAGATGCAGGATGTTTTTTCAGCTGCCAGCTTTCTTGACGGTGAGGCCTTGGAAGCATGTTTTGGGCTCTGACCATCAACTGTCCGCGTTTAAGCACAGCTCCCAAACAAGAGTGCAACTCCCCACGAAGTACCTCAAAGCAATCTTCATCAGGCCGAAGACCCTAAACTGGCTCCAGCGTGGCCTATCTCGCATCAAGAGCCTGACTCCGCCCGAGCACCCAAATTCCAAAAAAAGCGTTATCTTGTCAAGCCTTCCTGAGGCCAAGTATTATGGAAAGAATGGCGGCGCTCTGGGAGGGAATGGCAATTCTATGCTTCCTGGCACTTTTGCAAAGGTGAGCCCCAGTGGATGTGCAAGAACGACTATTGGATCTAGAGGGATGCTATACAGGTTAAGCCGTGCCTTTCGGTATGTTGTTCGAAGTGGGAGGTGTCAAACGTCAGAAGCCTGTGAGGGCGATCTCGGATCTCAGGTTTTGCGGCGGGGCTCGCTGGGAGAGGCCAGGATGGGTAAGAGCTGGTTAAGCTCTTGCGCATGAAGCGTCTCCTCCAGCGTTCATTCATTCTGGGAGGCCTGCCATACTCGATCTGTGAATTTAAACATGTGAGCAGCATTTTGGAAATGGTACAGGCGCACTGGCTGGAAGGTCTGTGACGCTGAGCAAGAAGGTTGTTTAATCAGAGCTGTAGCATAGAGGAGAAACAGCACCGAATGCTAAGATGCATACGTACACCAGTTCCGGTGGGGATGATCGCGGAAGCTTTGTGGAAGCGCCACAGAAGCTCTCGTAGTGACAGTTGACGCACAGCTTTTTGCCGAGGACTGCAGTCAACACGATAGCTGAAGTTCACCACTCCATGGCACAGATTATGGCGTTCAGCTGTGTTGTATTTCTTTCTTCTCAATATTTCATGCTATGAAACAACACCCAACGAAAGCGCATTCGAGTTAAAAACTCAAGTACCTGCGGAAGCAAACCTGAATCTCCCAGCAAAGACGGATCGCGCGCAAGGGCTTTGTGGAAACGAGAAGGCTGAAGACATCAAAATGTACTCGTGGAAGGTGAGCGGAAGGACTTCGTGGAAGCAGTTTTCTTACCGTAAAGAAATGAAAGGGAATACACACCACAGCTCATGTCGCTTTTGCTACTCCAGCAGCACCACCATGCAGCTCTTATAATGCCAAAGTCTGTTGATTGCAATCTCCGTGATATATCAGGTACCATCAGACAAAGCTGGCTAACGCCGTGTTCACGGTGGAGTGACTGGGCTATTTGCCAATGGGCTTGTGTTAACGTAGGGCATCCTGGTTTTTGTATTTTCAAGATGTCCACACATTGGCAGCGCATACAATGATTCTCTACGTCTTGGTCATTTCAAACTTGAAAACATGAACATGCCCCCAGATGGGGATTTCCTTTACGGGGGGCCAAATGTACGGCACCAGTGGTCCTTCAGCGCGGTTTCCTTAAACGCAACTTGGCTCCGATCAGCTGGGTGCCGAAGCAGTTGACCACTACTGACTTTGGAGGCTCATGAAGTGCCGCTGTTTAAGCTAGTCGCTTGGTACCTTCTCCTCTGATGGTCTACTATGAAGCTTGGACTGTGGTTGATTTTCATGATGGAGCTTTGGAAACATCTTGGGCTTGTATTTGGTAGCCCTGGTGGGTCACAGTCAAGCACATCGCAAGTATATCTGTGGCGCGCTTCTAACTTCAGGCTCCTCTTTGTCAAGCCTGGGGTGTAGCAATTCTGAAGACGAGGCTTGCCGAGCGATTGAAGGGTGCGAACTCCAAGGCCTGCGAGGGGGGACTAGATGGGTGTCACAGCCAGCTCTCATTAGGATGCGGGTGTCCTCTGTAAACACCGAGGAGGGCCAGTTGCGGCGGGTTTGGGGCTACGTCAGGTACTTTGTTCAATACCACGCATGGGTCGGGCGCCCAAAACCTTCCAGTTGCCGTGCCGCAGGCAACGCTTCCTCTGCGAGTGGGTCACCATAATCATTCTTTCCAGCTGTTTTGGAGTTGGGTTTAGGTTCTCAGCGTTGTCAACAGGCTTGGCAGCGCGATTTGCACCAAGCCCTCCGCGCGTTAACAAACTCCCCATGAGGACAGCTTGGACTCTCAGCCACAGCTGTGCATCCCAGACTGAGAGGTGAAATGCTTGGTTGCCGCTCCTGGGCTGGCTGCAACCAATCTTCAGGCTCGCCAGTTTCCACGGTCCATGGCCTGTCGAGTGCGGCTGTAGATTTGATGGCCGAGCAACTGGAACCCTTGGAACCCTTGGTCAGGAATGCATTCATGAAGGTTTGATCGTGTTTCGAGCTGTGTGTAGAACCAAGGGATTTGTGAGGGATTTATGAGGGGTCCGCAGATTGGACACAACTCTGGCTGTCAGAGGGCTCTCAGAACTGCTTTATTGCTGAATATATTTCACGTGCTCAACTGCTCCTGCCTTGACACGCTGTTAAGAAAGCTGTGAATCACAAACTAGCTAGGAGTTGTCCAGACACCAACGCTTGTCCTTGACAGGTAAATGTAGAATCTAAGCCTGCGCACTGGAAATGTCACAGGAGATGCAAACCGAATGAAGCGCATAGAGCGAGAGAGTGGGGCAGAAAGACACCAAGACAGAGACGTTGCGGCAAGTCCCAAAAGCACTCCATCTTGGGCGATCTCCTGTGTCCTTCCACACTGCAATGTTACGCGCGGTGCATACAATGTTGCTCCGAGTCATCCTGCCAGCAAAGCCTGGCCAATATTGCACCCCCAGTTCGGGGTGTTCAATCTGAGCTCATGCTGAATGCAGTTTGGATCCACCAGCAAGCCCTCAGATTACAGTTTTTGTCATCGGCGAGATTCAAGATCGTGTGGCCTTTGCAAACTCTGGTTCGATCGTGCACACTCGTGCTGCGCGATTCAAGGTAACTTCTCTGTCGCCATGGCCCATTGCGTGAAACGTAGACCCTGCGCCATCCTGCGCCCACAACATCCCAACAAAAGCTCTCTGGCAAATCTGTTTCCTAACGGTCTTCCAGTCAATTTCGGAGACCCTACGATACTTGAATTTAATATCTGGTCATGATAAAGCGGTTGGTTTCGCAAAAATGTTGTTATGCCGACCGTCTGGTGGTGGTGGTGTTGGTGGTGGTGGTGGTGGTGGCGGCGGCGGCGGCGGTGGTGGTGGTGGTGGGGAGGAGTCGAGCGTGCGCAGGCTTGCGTACAATTGCATGCATGCTGGTATACCGCCAGGAACACGGCCTGCCGGCGTGGGCCGAAACAACACTGGCGCATGAAGTCCTGCATGCATAGCTGATCTATCTGAGCAATTTCGGCACCGCTGCTCGGATCTTGGAGGAAGTTCTCGTCTCAGCACCCTGGCGATGGCCGGTTGGGATTCTCTTGGTAGTCATTCCAGTGATGGCCGGACCCCAAACAGGCAGTCTATGGCCTCATAAATTCGGATCATCTGGAGAGAGCAGCAGCATGGGAGCTGCGCACTAACACTGCCACTGCAACACAGCAGCAGGATA